ACAAATTGCTTGCTGTTTAGCAACGAGTAAATAACATCTCTTAACTTCGTCGAGGATAACTTAGAGGGATTGCGTGCGCTGCTTCAATCAGTCTGTTCTGCGGTAAAGCCCGAGCTCTTTGTTTTCAGGACTTTACAGGCAAATTGTGCAAAAGCTGTGCAAAAGCTATTGTTTTGGTCAGGCGCTGCAGACAACAGCAAATGTTATGCCGTTATTCTCTCCTGGTTAGGACCAGCAGACAGGAGCCAAGTGCTGAACTTTTTGGTCAAGCTCTAAAAACAACAGCCAAGCGCTGCATTCTTTCTAGCTAGAACAATGCGCTTGCGTTCACAAAACATTCATTTGTAATGACAACTGACTCAAAACGGGAATTTATATTCAATATAACAGAACATCTCTTCAATCGCTGTACCCGTCGTTAAGCTGACCCACATTTCCGAAAGGTCGGCGGTGCTGGATGAATGAGTGAATAATGCAAGAGATTTAAACGGACCGGCGCCAGCGTCAATACCGCAAAATCAGTCTGCCCGGGGTGCTATCATCAATCAGAATTTTTCCCCAGTACACTCTTCGTGAAGAAAAAAAATGTTTAAACATCCAGCGGGTACTTATTTTTAAGTGTCACTGAATTTTTAAAAGACATGTGAAGAGAACATCACTCGTCACGTTCCTGTCCAGAGGTTTTAGTGTTTGCTGAAGTTCGGCTCCCCTCCCCTTCTCGTCCGCTTCTGCCCTCTTCCCTACTACATCTCTGTGATTGTTGAGAAACCGGACGCAATGGTCAGATCCAGTTTGTACGGGGAAGGAAGAAAAGTGCAAAACAAGGATTTTTATAATCCACAAGGTTGGAGGCATACATTGGAAATTGCAACACCGCTCGAGATCTGCTTTCATTAAGCTGCTCTCAAAATAATGGTGCTAATGGTCGGGTGGCTAAAATTGTTCTTGTAATTTTGGAAAAAACATGTGCTAAATGGGGAAAATTGTGCAGGTGAGAGGAAGGGAGAAGGGAGCTAGCTCAAGGAATAAAAATAAAAAAGAAAATGAAGAAATCGAGAACATGTGAGATATTCAGTCGTCATATGTTTATCGCGTATGCTAATAATCATATGGTGCGGTTCTGCCTGTGTTTCATCCCTCATAAACAAAAAAGTCATGTTTGCTTCTCGCAGTTTTCTTTCACTTGACTGGGTTTTCGGAGAGTGTCTTACAGAATCCAGGCTACGCCCGGCTACTTGAAAGCAGCGGTCCTCGTTTCTGCTGTTTACAGACAAAACGAATTGCGAAATATCGGCTTCAGACCGAGCGTGTAATTGAGCAGCAGCTCACTGCTTCTAGCTTGCAGTCATGTGCAGATGATCATTACAGTAATAATAGTATTATTGCAGTTGACCGTTGGATTCGGTGATTTAGTGCCAACGAATGCGGAAGGCTATGTGCTGGTTCCAATCCTGTTCATCTTCGCAGGGCTGGTGCTTACGACGCTCGCCATTGACGTGATCGGCGCCAGTTGTATTAGTAAAATCCATGCCTGGGGCCGAAGCCTGTCGATCGTGAAGAGTTGGGCATGGCACGTCCACAATCACAAAATCCATTATTTCGGATACAGTCTAAGAAGCATCATTAACAGTAGCAATGATAACAAGGATACTGATAATAATGATAATGCTGATGATGACGATAACGGTGATGGTACGGATGCCAACTGGCGACAAGTGCGTAGTAGTGATAAGCAGCGGTACGCAGCCTATGCGCCCAAGGACGCTAACCTCATACCCTTTATTGACTGCATCTAGCGGCTGCGCTACGCCCTTACAATTCCCGAATCGGATCTGATCGAATTCATAGTCGAATTCATCGACGTCGTCCTCCGCCTCCCCCTCCTTCTCCCGCATCCTCCACCGTCCGCTGTCGCCAAAGTGGTGGTCGTCCGGGTTGTCCTTCTTGCACCTCCGTTCCTGCTTCCGCCCTGCTCTTCCAGCACGCACTGTCTGTGTCGTCGTGTGTGGACTGTCACCAAGCCGGTCTTCCGTCGCTGTCTCTCTCTCCGCGGCTGTCAACAACATTCTATATTCCATGAAATTTCCAGTAGACCAGGAAGGCCATGCACACTCACACGTACACCCACCCACAAACTGATGCTCGTTGGTTCTATTTCTAAGAACTTCGTGAATCCAGCAACCGCCACATCGCTGTTCCCGTTGCACGATCCACTTGCAGCCAGGTTATTGTCCTCTTTACCGCACTGGGGTGTCCGTCTTGCACCTCAGCAGTTTGAACATTAGCTCTCAGATAACCTATTACTTGAGTGCTGCCAGCACATGGATATAAGCTGAAGCGACGGTATTTCCTATCGTGACCCGGCATTCGCAAACTTCTCTCTCGCTCGAACGCAGTTTTCCCACGCGGCTACTTCTGCAGGACAGTTCCGGTTGTCAGCACTTGCAGATGACACCTCGTCCACAACTTAGCCTGATCCCTTTCGCTCTGAGAACATCAGGCTGCAATGGTACTACCGACCAGGGATCTGATTCTGCCCCTGTACAAACAATTGCCTTCACCGTTATCGACTTCCGATACAATAATGGTGCGTGTAGCGAAGTAGCTGTTGAGGAACTGGATGTTAGTTCTCTCGGATTACAGGCTGCACTGCAGAAGGTTCGTTTTATGCATTTATGCATAAATCATGTCGGATTACGGCCACAGGTGTGCACATATGCTCGCAGAAAATAAATCAACTCTGAATAACAAGAGCTAGAAAGCAGAAATTTTGGAGATATGGTATATGGAACCGTCTTTTCAGTTTAAATATGAAATCATTACTTCGTGACTTTACAGAGAATTCAAATCAATTTTGAAAATTTTTGCCTCTATACTTCTGTAATCTTAGCTTCAGCTTTATGCTGAGGCTAGCAAACGAAGAAAAAAGCAAATTTGAAGAGAATTTCTTTCGTAAACAACGATGTGATTATCCAGAAAGCCTTATTCGATAACAACTTCTGTTTTGAACTATGCTAATTATGCGTTTTTGCATAATATGCTAAAAAACATATTGCGAAGATCCCGGTGTGTGTGTGTGTGTGTGTGTAAGTGTGCATGTGTGTGTGTGTGTGTGTGTGTGTGTGTGTGTG